CCCCAATTCCCCCAGTTTTCCCCCTTTTCCCCCCCCCATTCCCATCTTTTCCCCCCAATTCCCTCTCCTTTCCCAGTTTTCCACCCCAATTCCCACAGAATTCCCACTTTTCCACCCCAATTCCAGCTCCACTCCCACTTTTTTGGGGAATTCGGGGCCCCAGAACCTTTGGGAATCAGGAGGGACTCCAAACCCTCGGGAATTGTGGCGGGCTTGGAATTTCTGGGAATTTGGGATCCCAGAACCTTTGGGAACCGCGGCGAGCTCTGAAACCCCAGAAATTCGGGATCCCGGAACCCTCCGGAATCCGGGATTTCGGAACCCCCGGAACTCCAGGATTTTGGAACCCTCTGGAATTCAGAGCCCCCAGAAATTCGGGATCCCGGAAGCCCCGGGAAATCCGGGATTTCGGAACCCTCCGGGAGCCGGGATCCCCGAGTTCCCGGGATGGCCCCGGGCCGGTCGGGATTTTGGGAATCTCACCGTGCTCGCCCATTCCCGATTTCCCGTCGCCCTCCGGGCCCGGCTCCGGCAGCGCCCGGGCAAAATCCGCCTTGAGCCCGTTGGGAAGCGGCGAATCCCGGGAAGGGCTCCCGCAGGGAATTCCCGCGGATCCGCCCGCCCGCGACAGTTCGGGAATCGGGGCCGGAGCCGCGCGCGGGAGCTCGGGAACGGCGCCGGATCCGTCGGGAACGGCCCCAAATCCGTCGGGAACGGCGCCGGATCCATCGGGAACAGCCCCAAATCCGTCGGGAACGGCGCCGGATCCGTCGGGAACGGCCCCAAATCCGTCGGGAACGGCGCCGGATCTGTCAGGAATGGATCCGGATCCGTCGGGAACGGCCCCAAATCCGTCGGGAACGGCCCCAAATCCGTCGGGAACGGCCCCGGATCTGTCAGGAATGGATCCGGATCCATCGGGAACGGCCCCGGATCCATCGGGAACGGCCCCAAATCCGTCGGGAATGGCCCCAAATCTGTCGGGAACGGCGCCGGATCCGTCGGGAACGGCCCCGGATCTGTCGGGAACTGCCCCGGATCCATCGGGAACGGCCCCAAATCCGTCGGGAATGGCCCCAAATCTGTCGGGAACGGCGCCGGATCCGTCGGGAACGGCCCCGGATCTGTCGGGAATGGATCCGGATCCGTCGGGAAGAGCTCCACATCCATCGGGAATGGCCCCGAGTCCATCAGGAACGGCACCGGATCCGTCGGGAACGGCTCCAGATCCATCGGGAACATCCCCAAATCCATCGGGAGCAGCTCCAGATCCATCGGGAATGCCGCCGGATCCGTTGGGAGCAACCCTGGATTCGTCGGGAATGGCTCCAGATCCATCAGAAATTGTCCCGGATCCCTCAGGAACAGTCTCAGATTCCTCGGGAACGATCCCAGATTTCTCGGGAATGACCCTGGATCCATCAGGAACAGTCTCAGATTCCTCGGGAATGATCCCGGATCCCTCGGGAACGGCTCCGGATCCATCGGAAACAATCCCGGATCCATCGGGAACGATCCCGGATCCATCGGGAACGGCTCCGGATCCATCGGGAACGGCTCCGGATCCATCGGGAACGATCCCAGATCCCTCGGGAATGATCCCGGATCTCTCGGGAACGATCCCAGATCCCTCAGGAACGATCCCAGATCCATCGGGAACGGCTCTGGATCCATCGGGAACGGCTCCGGATCCATCGGGAACGATCCCAGATCCCTCAGGAACGATCCCAGATCCCTCAGGAACGGCTCCGGATCCATCGGGAACGATCCCAGATCCCTCGGGAACGTTTTCCACGCGCGTCACCACGAAAACCTTCCTCCCTCTGCCGGGGCTGGAGACGGAAATCCTGCGCTCGGCATTCCCGGAATTCCCGGAATTCCCACAGGATTCCAGCACCTCCCTCGAGTCCTTCCCATCCTCCTCCTCCTCCTCCGTGTCCGAGCTGGAATCTCCGCCCGGAGCCGCGTTCCCGTTCTCCTCCGGGGAGGCTCCTCCGGGAATTCCGGGATCATCCTCGGGATCCTCGTTCCCGGAAATTTCCGGCATGGAGGCCGAGTGCCGGAGCTGCTGCTCCTTCTCCTCCTTTTCCCGGGCCAGGACGAAATTCCGCTTGCAGCCGTTCTGGATCTCGGCCAGCAGCGCCTTCTGCGTCTCCAGGAAACTCTTCACCTGCCGGGAAAAAAAAAAAATCCGGGAAATCCGGGAAGAAAAAAAAAAAAAAATAAAAATAAAAAAAAAAATAAAAAATCCCCGGAAAAATTCCCCCCTCCGGAATCGGTTTCGGTTTTTTCCCGGGTGGGGTTTTGGAGGCGCTGGCCCTTTAAGAGGGAAAATCGGAATTTTGGGGGTTTTCCGGGAAAAAAGGGGATTTGGGAATTCCAGGGAAGGTTGGAGACCCCCGGGATTCCGGGTGGGAAATGGGGAAAATCCGGAAAATCCGTCGGTGGAAACGGAAGGAAGAGCGCGGAAACGTGGGAATCCGAAGGGTTGGATCCCGGGAGATTCCCGGAATTCCCAGAGCTGAGATTCCCAGGAAATCCCAAATGCCAAATCCATGGGGAAAAACCTGGGAAATCCTGGAAAAACCTGGAAAAACCCCAACCCCGAAGTCCCAGAGCTCAGGAGCCGCTTCCAGCGCCGGAATCCGGGGAATTCTGGGAAATTCTGGGGGAACTTCAGGAACTTTTTGGGGAAAGTTTGGGAATTTTTCGGGAATATCAGGAATTCTGGGATGCAGCACCTCCTTTTTGGGCTCACGATCGAATCCCAAACCCCCCCAAAATCCCAAATTTCCCTCTCAGGAAACGCCGGGATTTTTGGGGATTTTTTGGGATTTTTGGGAATTCCAGGGAATTTTGGGAACTCCAGGAACTTTCGGGGAAATTGCAGGAATTTTTTCAGGAATACCAGGAATTCTGGGACACCCGAATCCCCCTTTTGCTCACTAACCCCCCCAAACCCCAAATCCCCATTTCCCCCTCCAGAAACGCCCGGGAACCGCCGGGATTTTTGGGAATTCCAGGGAATTTTGGGAAATTCCAGGGACTTTTTGGGCAATTCTGGGAATTTCTTGGGAATATCGGGAATTCTGGGACACCCGAATCCCCCTTGTGCTCACAATGAAACCCCCCCAAAACCCCCCCAAACTCCCATTTCCCCCTCCAGAAACGCCCGGGAACCGCCGGGATTTTTGGGGATTTTTGGGAATTCCAGGGAATTTGGGGAAATTCCAGGAACTTTTCGGGAACATCAGGAATCCCAGAACGCACCACCTCGCCCTGTGCTCACAAACCCCCCCCCCCCACACCCCCAAAATCCCCGTTTCCCCCTCCAGAAACGCCCGGGAACCGCCGGGATTTTTGGGGATTTTTTGGGAATTCCCGAGAATTCCCGGGAATTCCCGGGAATTGCGGGGACTGACCGCCTCCTTCTTGGGCTCGCGGTCGAGGTCGAGGCGCAGCAGGGAGTGGTTGACGCGCAGGGCGAGCGACAGCGCCATCAGCCCCCCGGTCTTGATGTCGTTCTCGCGCAGGTCCAGGCGCAGCAGCCGCGAACTCTCGGCCACGAACTCGGCCACGGCCACCGCGCCTGGAGCGGGAAACAGCGGGAAAAATCATCGGGAATCCCGGGAAAAATCATCGGGAATGGCGGGAAAAATCATTGGGAATGGCGGGAAAAATCATCGGGAATCCCGGGAAAAATCATCGGGAATCCCGGGAAAAATCATCGGGAATGGCGGGAAAAACAATGGGGAAACATCAGCGCGCCTGGAGCGGGAAACAGCGGGAAAAATCATCGGGAATCCCGGGAAAAATCATTGGGAATGGCGGGAAATATCATCGGGAATCCCGGGAAAAATCATCGGGAATGGCGGGAAATATCATTGGGAATCCCGGGAAAAACAACAGGAATGGCGGGAAAAACAATGGGGAAACATCAGCGCGCCTGGAGCGGGAAACAGCGGGAAAAATCATCGGGAATCCCGGGAAATATCATCGGGAATGGCGGGAAAAATCATCGGGAATCCCGGGAAAAACAACAGGAATGGCGGGAAAAACAATGGGGAAACATTACTGCGCCTGGAGGGGGAAACAATGGGAAAAAACAATGGGAATGGCGGGAAATCCCGGGAAAAATCATTGGGAATGGTGGGAAAAAACAATGGGAAAACATAACCGTGCCTGGAGGGGAGAAACAATGGGAAAAGTCATCGGGGATGGCGGGAAAAAACACTGGGAATGGCGGGAAATGCAACAGGAATGGTGGGAAAATACACCGGGAATGGCGGGAAAAAACAGCAGGAAAACTCACTGAGAATGGCGGGAAAAAACAACAGGAATGGTGGGAAAAATGTCACCAGGAATGGCGGGAAAAAACACCGGGAATGGCGGGAAAAATGTCATCAGGAATGGCGGGAAAAAACACCGGGAAAAGTCGCCGGGAATGGTGGGAATGGTGGGAAACATCACCGAGAATGCCAGGAAAGGGTGGGAAATGGCGGGAAACGCTGGGAATTCCCGGGAAATGGCGGGAAATGCTGGGAATTCCCGGGAAATGGCGGGAAACGGCGGGAATTCCCGGGAAATGGCGGGAAACGCTGGGAATTCCCGGGAAATGGCGGGAAATGCTGGGAATTCCCGGGAAATGGCGGGAAATGCTGGGAATTCCCGGGAAACGGCGGGAAACGCTGGGATTTCCCGGGAAACGGCGGGAATTCCCGGGAATTTCGACCGACCCTCGCAGGTGAGCTTGGTGCAGGCCAGGCCGAGGCGCAGCACGGAGCGGTTCCCGATCAATCCGTTCTTCAGGTTCCGGACGCCCTCGTTCCCGATGGGATTGTGACCCAGGTTCAGCGTCTCCAGGCTCTGCGTGTGCGGCTGCGGGAAATCCGGGAAAAACGGGGAATTCCAGGGAAAATCCCGGGAAAATAATGGGGAATTCCAGGGAAAATCCCGGAAAAAAAATGGAGGAATTCAGGGGAAATCCGGGGAAAAAATGGGGGGAAATTCAGGGGAAATCTGGGAAAAAATGGGGGGAATTCAGGGAAAATCCTGGGAAAAAATGGGGAATTCCAGGGAAAATCCCAGGAAAAAATGGGGGGAATTCAGGGAAAATCCCAGGAAATAATGGGGGGAATTCAGGGGAAAACGGGGAAAAGCCGTAGAAATCCATGGAAAATTCATGGAATTGGATGGAAAACGAAAAAAAACCAAGGAAAACCCATGGAAAACCAAGGAAAATGGATGGAAAACCAAGGAAAACCCAAAGAAACCCAGGAAAAATCAATGGAAAACCCATGGAAACCCAGGGAAATCCACGGAAAACCCATGGAAATTGCTAGAAATCCACAGAAAATCATGGAAAATCCATGGAAATTGACAGAAATCCATGGAAAATCCACAGAAATGAACAGAAAACCCATGGAAAACCAAAGAAAATCCAGGGAAAACCAAGGAAAACCCACGGAAACCCATGGAAATCGCTAGAAATCCACGGAAAACCCACGGAAATCGCTAGAAATCCACGGAAAATCCACGGAAATCGCTAGAAATCCATGGAAAATCCACGGAAATCGCTAGAAATCCACGGAAAATCCACGGAAAACTCTAGAAATCCCCGGAAAATCCCTGGAAAAGGCACGGGAAGGCGCGGGCGGATTCCCGGGAACGCTCACCAGGCTCATTCCCAGGAAAGCCATCCCGGCGTGGCTCAGTTGGTTGTTCCAGAGCACCAAAGTCTGCAGCCCCCGGCGCTGCTCCCGCAGGCCCTCGCACAGGTACGCCAGGCCTGGAAAACACCGGGAATCCCGGGAATCGGAGTTACCGAGGGCTGGGAATGCCCGGGAATCACGGGAATCACGGGGGAAACCCCCGAGTGAATGAGGGCTGGGAAAACCGGGAATTCCAGAGTTAATGAGGGCTGGGAAAACCGGGAATTCCGGAGTTAATGAGGGCTGGGAAAACCGGGAATTCCGGAGTTAATGAGGGCTGGGAAAACCGGGAATTCCGGAGTTAATGAGGGCTGGGAAAGTCTGGGATTCCTGGGAATTCCGGAGTTAATGAGGGCTGGAAAATGCCGGAATTCCTGGGAATTCCACAGTTAATGAGGGGCTGGGAATGCCCAAGAATCCTGGGAATGAGGGGGGGGAATCCTGGAGTTAATGAGGGCAGGGAAATCCTGGGAATTCCAGAGTTAGTGAGGGCCGGAAAATCCCGGAATTCCCGGGAATTGCGGAGTTAATGAGGGCTGGGAAAGCCCGGGAAATCCTGGGAATTTGGGGAAAAATCCGGGAGTCAATGAGTCCAGGCCTGGAAAACTGGGAAAATCCCATTCCCACCATTCCCAATCCCACAATTCCCACTCCCAATCCCAGAATTCCTGTTATTCCCAGGATTCCCTCTGGAATCTCACCGGAGTCCAGGATGTGGTTGTTGCGCAGGTCCCAGCCCCAGAATTCCCAATAATTCCCAGAATTCCCAATAATTCCCGGGAATCTCACCGGAGTCCGGGATGTGGTTGTTACGCAGTTCCCAATCCCACAATTCCCAATAATTCCCAGAATTCCCGTTATTCCCGGGAATCTCACCGGAGTCCGGGATGTGGTTGTTACGCAGTTCCCAATCCCACACTTCCCAATAATTCCCAGAATTCCCGTTATTCCCGGGAATCTCACCGGAGTCCGGGATGTGGTTGTTACGCAGTTCCCAATCCCACACTTCCCAATAATTCCCAGAATTCCCGTTATTCCCGGGAATCTCACCGGAGTCCGGGATGTGGTTGTTACGCAGTTCCCAATCCCACACTTCCCAATAATTCCCAGAATTCCCGTTATTCCCGGGAATCTCACCGGAGTCCGGGATGTGGTTGTTACGCAGTTCCCAATCCCACACTTCCCAATAATTCCCAGAATTCCCGTTATTCCCGGGAATCTCACCGGAGTCCGGGATGTGGTTGTTACGCAGTTCCCAATCCCACACTTCCCAATAATTCCCAGAATTCCCGTTATTCCCGGGAATCTCACCGGAGTCCGGGATGTGGTTGTTACGCAGTTCCCAATCCCACACTTCCCAATAATTCCCAGAATTCCCGTTATTCCCGGGAATCTCACCGGAGTCCGGGATGTGGTTGTTACGCAGTTCCCAATCCCACACTTCCCAATAATTCCCAGAATTCCCGTTATTCCCGGGAATCTCACCGGAGTCCGGGATGTGGTTGTTACGCAGTTCCCAATCCCACACTTCCCAATAATTCCCAGAATTCCCGTTATTCCCGGGAATCTCACCGGAGTCCGGGATGTGGTTGTTACGCAGTTCCCAATCCCACACTTCCCAATAATTCCCAGAATTCCCGTTATTCCCGGGAATCTCACCGGAGTCCGGGATGTGGTTGTTGCGCAGGTCCCAGCCCCAGAATTCCCAATAATTCCCAATAATTCCCGTTATTCCCGGGAATCTCACCGAAGTCCGGGATGTGGTTGTTGCGCAGGTCCCAGCCCCAGAATTCCCAATAATTCCCGGGAATCTCACCACTATCCAGGATGTGGTTGTTGCGCAGGTCCAGCGTGCGCAGGGATCCGTTGGCCCTCAGGAGGTTCCCGAGCTGCGCCGCGTCCCCGGGAGCCGAGAGTTTGTTATCGGCCAGGTACAGCTCGCGCAGGGTGACGTTCAGCCGCAGGGCCGCCGCTGGAAAAACACCGGGAATAAACACCGGGAATGGCACAGGGAACACCGGGAATGGGATCAGAAACACTGGGAATGGGATTGGAAATACCGGGAATAAACACCGGGAATGGGATTGGAAATACCGGGAATAAACACCGGGAATGGGATTGGAAACACCGGGAATAAACACCGGGAATGGGATTGGAAACACCGGGAATAAACACCGGGAATGGGATTGGAAATACCGGGAATAAACACCGGGAATGGGATCGGGAACGGGCTGGGATTGGGACCAGGATTGGGACTGGGAATGGGACAGGAAACACCGGGAATGGGGCCGGGAATGGGGCCGGGAATGGGCTGGGAAATGTGGGAATGAAGCCGGGAAAACACTGGGAATGAGGCAGGAAAAATTGGGAATGGGGTGGGAAAACACCACGGGAATGGGGCCGGGAATGGGGTGGGAGAAATGTGGGAATGTGGCCGGGAAAGGGGGAACGGAGCCGGAGAGAGCGACCGGATCCTGACCGCAATTCCCAGCTGGAATCCCCCACCCACCGGAATTCCGGGCTGCAATTCCCAGCTGGAATTCTGGGCTGGAATTCCCAACTGGAATTTTGGGCTGGAATTCCCAGCTGGAATCCCGGGCTGGAATTCCCAGC